ACAATATTATGTAGTATCTACAATGAGAGCAAATCGGTTCAATTCGTGTTTGCTAAAATCTGATAAGCAACTGGAACGACAGGGTAGAGGATCATTTGATTTTCAAACTACTGAGGACGGACACTTAGTGGTTACAAAGTGGTTTGATAATAAAGCAGTTTACGTAGCCTCGAACTGTTTTGGTCCCTTGCCTGTAGGTGAAATCGAAAGATTTGATCGGAAAAGTAAAACTCACATAACAATATCACGCCCATATTCAATAAACGGATACAATCAATGCATGGGCGGAGTAGATCATTTTGACATATTCATGAGCTTATATCGAATTGAATTGAAAGGAAACAAGTGGTATCGAAAATTTTTTTATAATTTTCTGGATTCTTCTATCATCAACTCGTGGCTCATTTATAAACAAATAACATCTTCTGACATTGATCTCTTGAACTTCAAGTTGAGTTTAGCTCAAAAATTAGTTATATCTCTTGCCGGTGTCCAATCAATGACACTTAGTGTGAATGACTTTTCAAGATATGATCAAATTGGACATTTTCCTGGTTGGAAAGATTTAAATGGCACAACAAAAAATTTCCAAAGTAAATGGTGTCAATTTTCTGGCTGTCGTAAAAAAACCAGCACTTACTGTAAGAAATGTAAAGTTTGGCTTTGTTACGCTGAAACTAATCATTTCGAATTATTTCATCAACTACAAGAATAGATTTTTCAAATTTCTAAACAAACGACAATGCAACTGACAGTGCACGACGTGAATGCGGTGTTCATATATGTATATGAATCACACTATTGTCCTTGCTTTGTTGTCATTTTCAGACATTTTTTCAAATAAAAAGAATAACAAACGTATTATGTATCTAATATACTGTCACTTAATGGATTTGATTCAAACTTCTCCTACGTATACTAGGGGTCATAAGATTACTTTTATTGAGCGAATCGTCCATCTGAACCCTCAAGTTTAGTCAAAGGCAAGAAAGGGTTAAGTTTCATTAGTGATCAGGATTAGGTAACAGAACTCTTGGTAGACCATCAGGAAAAACAAGTAATGGTACCGAATGTGTGGTTTTGTTGAGTTCTGGTTCATAAGCCTTGATCAATAATGATTCCTTGATTAACAAACGATAATAATGATTGTCTTGCCATATTACCTGAAAATTACTCCAGTCCATATGATGACCTGTTTTTTTTTCATGTTGAGTAATTGATGACTTGGCAATCCTATTATCGCTCTTATCGTCGTCTGTTATTGTTGTTATAGCTGATGTTGTAGCTCTTGCTATTTTATTTTTTATTCGTGATGATCTTCTTAATTCTGTGATGTTGTTATTATCATTAAGATCATCATTTAAATGGTTGCATTGTGAGAAAGTTGTTTTAGGTGCACCATGTTCATATAATCTTCGTAAACATTGACGTTCCGTCTTGCCAATATACGAATGTTCACAGTCAATGCATTTAATATAATAGACAACATCAGACTGCATATGCTTAACAATTGGATCTTTGGTTTGGAAAAATGCTTGTGTTGATGGTGGTGGTTTGGTGAAGAATTGGATGTCGAGATCAGGTCGTAATTTATTAGATAGGTGCATTATTTTCTTCTTCAATTCTAAAGTTGAAGATCTAATAAATGGTAGCTCGACATACATTTTCTTTTTATCATGTCCTATTATCGGTTCATTTAATTTTCCATTAATTTTATTTCGATGTTGACTTAATTTAATGCCAATAATAATATCAATAAAAGATAATGGATAATCATTTTTTAAGGCAATTCTTCTTATTTTATTTAATTCATCTTCTAAAAGATTATATGTTGAACATATATTGAGTACACGATTAACCATACTAACAATACTGGCTTTCTTATATTGAATGGGAACATAAGAATTCCAATTTGTTAGTAATCTAGTGAATGTTGGTTTACGATAAATTGTTGTCTCGAAGCGTTGTTATCCAAATGATCGAATAACTTGTACATCGAGAAATTCCAATTTATCATTATCTTCAATCTTTCTTGTAAATTTAATTGATGGATGAAAATCATTGAGAATGGATAATATATTAGCTACATTTGCATCTGCATTAATAAGTACAAATGTATCATCTACATATCGATACCATTCACATACACCTAATTGTGTTAATTTATCCATCAATGTTGTTTCCAAGTAAGTCATAAAGATATCAGCAATCACTGGAGCTAATGGAGCACCCATTGCAACACCATTATGTTGAACATACATTTTGTTATTAAAGGTAAAATGTGTTTTAGATGTAACTTCTTCGAGTAGAGTTCTAAAGTCAACATTCTGCTTACATTTACGGCATTGTTTTGCTCTTGGTAGTTTCAGACATGATTTCTTACATGTCGGATACATTTGATCAAGAACAGAATCAATTGTATAGGTAAGTGGAACATTGGTAAAGAGACTTACTACATCATATGAAACTAATATCTTATCCACATTTTTTGATGATTTAATTTTATTTAAAAAATCAAATGAATCTTGAATAACATAAAGACTTGTTCTAAGATGTGATAATCGATTTTTAAGCATTTTTCCTAAACCATATCCAACTGTTTTAATTGCAGACATAACAGGACGTAATGGATAATTTTCATTAGGTTTATGTAATTTTGGTAAACCATAGAGACGAGCTGGTCTTGAACCTATTGGTTTAGCCATATTATATTCTTCATTAGTAATGACACCTTCTTTAAGTAATCTTGTTAATAAACGTAATTCACGATCTTCATGTATGGGGTAATAGTGGTTTAGTTTTTAGCATTGATGGATGATGTTTAGTAGCATGCATCTTATGGTTGGATGTCGTGTGGGTCCCAGACACACAGAGTTGTTCTCGAGAAATTAAATGAACGATTCGGAGTTGTTTTGGTGAGAGGAGTTTTGTTCGTGTAGCAGTTGGGTTGGGTATTTGAATTTCTCAGTTTCCAGCTGAATCAACGGTTCTTTAATTTTTTTGGAGATTCAGGACTAGGACTGAGTTCTTTTCGTGCAAAAAAAAAAATTTTGCAAAAAGCCCACCCCATACCCCGCGCGATATCACTGCGCGATAAAGCAGCCTAGGCTGATCGCCCACCCAGATCGGCGGGTGTGTTACAGCCCGAACCGTAGCTAACTACGCATCGGCCAGACTGTAACACGTGGGGTGGCCCTGGGGGACGATGCTTAACTACAGCACCATCCCCTTTACGCGGACCGGTTAAATGCCGACCTGAATGGGTATCAGGTCTAGGCTGCTTTATTCCGAAGAATAAATATTTGTATTTCTCTAGTATCGAACTAGTGACCATGGTTCATGACGCCATTAGTCAGTTCGACTAGATAGTACAGTAGATATAACTATACCAACAGAAACGAAAGAAGAATTCATCTATATATGTCACGGTTCAGTGTTCGAATCCAACCCACGGAAAAATATGTAACATGAACATGGT